TTCGTAAAGTCGTGGCGATTCCTTTCCACCCGGCCACACATCCACCAGGGCCACACATCCACCAGGGCCACACACCCACCAGGGCCACACACTCACCAGTGCCACACATCCACCAGGGCCACACACCCACCAGGGCCACACACTCACCAGTGCCACACACCCACCAGGGCCGTGTAATATTCTTGGTGAATATTTCCTATAAGAATAGTGTTTAAGTATGTATTCTATATGATAGAAATATAATAGCATGTAAGAATGTGCTTGGTGGCATACTGGTGGCTGGCTCCAACAGTTTAGTAAGCCAGTATATCGGCCGTGTACAAGGGTAAACTAATTGTTGCTCCTCTGAGCTGTCACTTCTCATTCGTCACCATTGTTTTGGCTCGGGATGACCCCGGGCCACATTCACCAGGGCCACATACTCACCAGGGCCACATTCTCACCAGGGCCACATTCACCAGGGCTACATACTCACCAGGGCCACATTCACCAGGGCTACATTCACCAGGGCTACATACTCACCAGGGCCACATTCCCCTGGGCCACATACTCACCAGGGCCACATTCCCCTGGGCCACATACTCACCAGGGCCACACACCCACCAGGACCACACACTCACCAGGGCCACACATCCACCAGGGCCACACACTCACCAGGGCCTCACACCCACCAGGGCCACACACTCACCAGGGCCACACATCCACCAGGGCCACACACCCACCAGGGCCACACATCCACCAGGGCCACACACTCACCAGTGCCACACACCCACCAGGGCCACACACCCACCAGGGCCACACATCCACCAGGGCCACACACTCACCAGTGCCACACACCCACCAGGGCCACACACCCACCAGGGCCACACATCCACCAGGGCCACACACCCACCAGGGCCACACACCCACCAGGGCCACACACCCACCAGGGCCACACACCCACCAGGGCCACACACCCACCAGGGCCACACACCCACCAGGGCCACACACCCACCAGGGCCACACACCCACCAGGGCCACACCCATCCCACACACTTCAAAAATAGTAAATTACAAACTCTCTTTGGAATCCTTTTTCATTTATTTTTAGTACTGAACCTTCTCAGACGTCATTTTTCCTCCAGCGATCGACCCACCCCCTACCCAGGCCACCCACCCTGTTCCCAGGGCCACCCACCCCCTTCCCAGGCCACCCACCCTGTTCCCAGGGCCACCCACCCCCTTCCCAGGCCACCCACCCCCTTCCCAGGGGCCACCCACCCCCTTCCCAGGCCACCCACCCCCTACCCAGGCCACCCACCCTGTTCCCAGGGGCCACCCACCCTCTTCCCAGGCCACCCACCCTTTTCCTAGGCCACCCACCCTCTTCCCAGGCCACCCACCCTCTCTATAAGTCGACCTACACCCCCCTCCCTTCCTCCCCCCCTCACACACACACACACACACACACACACACACACACACACACACACACACACACACACACACACACACACACACAAGGAACCGCATGGAGGCGAGGATACGTGGAGAGCCAAACTATTGGAGGTGGTGACAAGCAACTTTTTAACGCAGCATGTCGGAGAACCCACAAGGATGAGAGGCAATGACGAACCAGCGAGACTCGACCTAGTCTTCACTCTGAACGACTCCGACATAAGAGAAATCGGTTTTGAGGACCCAGTAGGAATGAGCGACCACAGTGTACTGGTGTTTGAGTACTTGATTGAAGAAGGGTTATTGAACTCGAGGAGGGATACCGAAACCAAAAGGTTAGCATACCGAAAGGGAAACTATGAGGGGATAAGAAAATTCCTAACAGATATAGCATGGGAAACAGAGCTCAGGGGAAAGACGGCCCAAGATATGATGGATTACATCACGCAGAAGTGCAAGGACGCAGCAAACAAGTTTGTCCCAGTCCAAAAGGAAAACAGAGAAATGAAGATGAGAAACCCATGGTTTAATCAAAGATGTAGGCTAGCTAAGCAGCAAAGTAAAAGGGCATGGAGAAACTATAGGAATAACAGGACACTGGAGAGCAGAGAAAGATACCAGAATGCCAGGAATGAATATGTCAGGATGAGAAGAGAGGCAGAAAGACAATACGAAAATGACATCGCAAGCAAGGCAAAGACAGCCTAAATTGTTGCATAGCCACATTAGGAGAAAAACAACAGTAAAGGAACAGGTTATGAGATTAAGGATAGGGGCGGAAGGATTCACTACAAATGACAAGGAAGTGTGTGAGGAATTGAATAAGAAATTCCAGGAGGTCTTCACCTTAGAACAAGGAGAAATTCCAGAGGTAAGTGAGGGAATAGCTAACCAGGAACCACTGGAAGAGTTTGAGATTACCAGTGGGGAAGTAAGGAAGTGTTTACTAGAGTTGGACGTGACGAAGGCTATAGGCCCAGATGGAATCTCCCCTTGGGTTCTAAAGGAAGGAGCAAGAGAACTGAGCCTACCACTCTCCATAGTGTATAACAAATCACTGGCAACAGGGGAACTGCCAGATACTTGGAAAGCAGCTAACGTAGTCCCGATATACAAGAAAGGGGATAGACAGGAGGCACTGAACTACAGGCCAGTGTCCCTAACCTGCATACCATGCAAGCTGATGGAGAAGATTGTGCGAAAAAAACTAGTGGAGCATCTGGAGCGAAGGAACTTTGTAACACAGCATCAACATGGGTTCAGGGATGGCAGGTCCTGCCTCACAGGGTTACTTGAATTCTACGACCAGGCAACAAAAATAAGGCAAGAAAGAGAAGGGTGGGCAGACTGCATATTTTTGGATTGTCAGAAAGCCTTTGATACAGTGCCACACAAGAGGCTAGTGCGAAAGTTGGAGATGCAGGCTGGAGTGAGAGGGAAGGTACTCCGGTGGATAGAGGAATACCTAAGCAACAGGAGACAACGAGTCTGTGTGAGGGGTGAGGTCTCAGATTGGCGAGACGTCACAAGTGGAGTCCCGCAGGGGTCAGTCCTTGGACCTATACTGTTTCTGGTATATGTAAATGATCTCCCAGAGGGTATAGATTCGTTCCTCTCAATGTTTGCCGACGATGCAAAAATTATGAGGAGGATTGAAACAGAGGATGATAGTAGGAGGCTACAAGATGACCTGGATAGACTGAGTGAATGGTCCAACAAATGGCTGTTGAAGTTCAACCCGAGTAAATGCAAAGTAATGAAACTAGGCAGTGGAAACAGGAGGCCAGGCACAGGATACAGAATAGGAGATGAAGTACTTAATGAAACAGACAGAGAGAAAGATCTAGGAGTTGATATCACACCAAACCTGTCTCCTGAAGCCCACATAAAGAGAATAACGTCTGCGGCATATGCGAGGCTGGCTAACATCAGAACGGTGTTCAGGAACCTGTGTAAGGAATCATTCAGAATCTTGTACACCACATATGTAAGACCAATCCTGGAGTATGCGGCCCCAGCATGGAGCCCGTACCTTGTCAAGCACAAGACGAAGCTGGAAAAAGTCCAAAGGTATGCTACTAGACTAGTCCCAGAACTAAGAGGCATGAGTTATGAGGAAAGGCTGCGGGAAATGCACCTCACGACACTGGAAGACAGAAGAGTAAGGGGGGACATGATCACAACCTACAAAATCCTCAGGGGAATCGACCGGGTAAACAAGGACGAACTTTTCAACACTGGTGGGACGCGAACAAGGGGACACAGGTGGAAGCTGAGTACCCAAATGAGCCACAGAGACGTTAGAAAGAACTTTTTCAGTGTCAGAGTAGTTAGCAAATGGAATGCATTAGGAAGTGATGTGGTGGAGGCTGACTCCATTCACAGTTTCAAATGTAGATATGATAGAGCCCAATAGGCTCAGGAATCTGTACACCAGTTGATTGACGGTTGAGAGGCGGGACCAAAGAGCCAGAGCTCAACCCCCGCAAGCACAATTAGGTAAGTACAATTAGGTAAGTACACACACACACACACACACACACACACACACACACACACACACACACACACACACACACACACATACACACACACACACACACACACACATTCTCACCACATTGACAATTCCATTTCCACTACCCAGGATCTGCCAGACTGTGGTATAGTCTCCTCATTCAACTCATCTTCTCAATGAGTGACGTGAGTGACTCATCTCCGAGCATGTTTCTTTCCATTTCTTTCTCCCGTTTTCTCCTCTAGATTCTCCTTTCTCAACCTATTATTATTTTTTTTTTCAATTACATAGATGGTGATTAGTCATTGTTTTGGAGTAGTTATCCCAAAGCCGTAATAAATGTGCAATCCAATGTTCGTTGAATACAAATATCACATTGGAAACTGAGGGGAGGGAATTCAAGCTACCTCGTTAGGTATAGCAATTCGTTCACGAAGTAGTTACGCAAGCACTTACGAACGTGGGCCAAATTCACGAAGCAGTTACGCAAGCACTTACGAACCTGTATATCTTTCCTCAATCTTTGGCGGCTTTGTTTACAATTAATTTACAGTTAATGAGCTCCGAAGCACCAGGAGGCTGTTTATAACAATAACAACAGTTGATTGGCAAGTTTTCATGCTTGTAAACTGTTTAATTAATGTAACCAAAGCCGTCAAAGATTGAGGAAAGATGTACACGTTCGTAAGTGCATGCGTAAGTGCTTCGTGAATCTGGCCCCGTTCGTAAGTGCTTGCGTAACTGCTTCGTGAATCTGGCCCCGTTCGTAAGTGCATGCGTAACTGCTTCGTGAATCTGGCCCCGTTCGTAAGTGCATGCGTAACTGCTTCGTGAATCTGGCCCCCTGGCGTGCCAGCGAGGAAGCCGAGTTGTGGTCTGCAGGTAACGAATTATTAACTAACTGCTTCTTTCCATGAATGAATTAATTAAATAAGAACGTCTCTGTATAACTAATGTATGAGTTTATAACTAATCTACCGGAAGTACATTTATTATTAACTATCTTGAGGTCATCTTGAGATGATTTCGGAGCTTTAGTGTCTCCGCGGCCCGGTCCTCGACCAGGCTTCCACCCTCAGGAAGCAGCCCGTGACAGCTGACTAACTCCCAGGTACCTATTTACTGCTAGGTGAACAGGTGCATCAAGGTGAAAGAAACTCTGCTCATTTGTTTCCGCCTCCGCCGGGGATCGAACCCTGATCTTTAGGACTACGAATCCCGATCGTTGTCCACTCAACCATCAGGTTCTCTTTGACGGGAGCATTTGTTGGAGAACTCCATTACCCACGCCAGGGAGCATGGGGGTTGTTTGTAAACTCGGATTGGAACCAGTTGGGCACCTCCGGACTCCTATTGGACACAGATTGATTGATGAAGATTAAGCCACGTGAGAGGAGGCACGGGCATGAATAGCCCCGTAAGTGGAGGCTGTTTGAAGCCATTGCCAGTAAGTGGACTCAGTCGGGGTGCCAGGTTGTTGTTGTTTAAGATTCGCTACTCAGAACGATAAGTTCCAGTAGCACGGGCTATGGTGAGCCCGTAACTTACCTGGCACAGGAGCGGGGCAAGAAGCACGGGCTATGGTGAGCCTCGTGGACGGAAGATGTCTCCCATGTCGGGGTGCCAGGTTTTATTAACCTTTAGGGCGTCGGGACCTATACGGGTAAGGCGCGCGATGTCTGGTGTCAAGCAGGACGCTGGTTCGATTCCCCTATACGGCTCCAATGATATTTTCACACACACGTATATCACGTTTTTTTAGATTTCCTTGTGAACTGTAATCAGTGGTATACAGCTGCCACTTAAACTGCAAGCGGGAGCGATCTGAACAAATCCAATTAGAACAAATCTAATAGAATTTCGGTTTCAACTCTTTTTACCCTGTCGTAGCACAGTCGATTAAGGCAGTGTCTGGGATACTCCCGGACGCAGGTTCGAATCCTCGTCACGGCCCTTGTGGATTTGTTCATTTGATGCATCACGTTAGTGTGATCTGTGTGTGTAATGGAAGCGATCTATTATAGTTACCTATACACTTCACATGAAAAAATGACAACGTAATGGAGGATAAGTAAATTATTTATTAAGTTAATTAATAATTAAGTAATAATTATTATTTAGTAAATTGAAACCTTTGCCTACTTACCTAGCAGTAAAATAGGTACCTGGGTGTTAGTCAGCTGTCACGAGCTGCTTCCTGGGGGTGGAGGCCTGGTCGAGGACCGGGCCGCGGGGACACTAAAGCCCCGAAATCATCTCAAGATAACCTCAAGAAGATCCCTCTGGTAATTAATCTCTGCCTGTCTGTATGCAAATTCCCCTATATTAAAGACCCTTCCTTATGTTAAATCAAGACGAACAACTGTGCTCATAACATTCATCTTTTACATATTTCAAGAGCCTTCAATATTTCGATTCAGTTTAATAATAAGTGTTTAACAGTCTCGTTTGTTTTCTGATGAACGACATAACTAGGTACTTGTATTTTCTGATGAACGACATAACTAGGTACTTGTATTTTCTGATGAACGACATAACTAGCTACTTGTATTTTCTGATGAACGACATAACTAGGTACTTGTATTTTCTGATGAACGACATAACTAACTACTTGTATTTTCTGATGAACGACATAACTAGGTACTTGTATTTTCTTGTAGTGCCAAAACTAACCTGTGTTGAACACTTGACTATGTTCTCTCATGTAGTTGTCTCATGTTTAAATTCTGTCATATGCCTCCCTCTTTTTGGCTTGCTATCTGAATTGCTACAGTTATTAGTTCTGTATATTTGTTGTCGTGGTTAAACTATATATATATATATATATATATATATATATATATATATATATATATATATATATATATATATATATATATATATATATATATATATATATGAATATATATTCAGGCTTGTTCGCATATATATATATATATATATATATATATATATATATATATATATATATATATATATATATATATATATATATATATATATATATATATATATATATATAAAAAAGAAAGTTTGTAGTCGTACTCGAGAATCGAACCAGTAACATTAAGCGAAGATTCTTTAAGTCTTTCTTTCTCTTTCTTCCTCCTTGAGTTAGAGCCCCGGGATCCCGGGTCCACTTAGCGAGAAGCCTCAGTGATCTCCAGGTAATATCTGAGAAGTGTTGATGTGTGAGGAAGCGAGGCCGAGTGAGGAGTGTGTTGAAGCCTCACGATGCTTCAAGCTTCTGGCCTGCTTTGTTTGGGTCCTCAGCGAAGCCTCAGCCATGCTTCACTACCTGGTCATTGACGAATCAAACTTGGTCCACTGAATGTTCGCTTCATCGTTGAGTATCAACAGGGAATTTTGATCTTGGCCCAGGGCCCTGCCATTAGGGGTATATTGTCTCATGTTTCTCATTAATTAATCCCATTTCCCAGTCAATCTCTTCTCCTGTTTAGTAGTAGGCATCCATCAGTTTCAGGAGACTATGGAGTTGCGCTCTGGTTGTCGGTCTGGAGTGGCCTCACCAGGGCGCAAAGCTAGAGTAAGTTGATATGAGGGGAGAAGCTGTTACCCATGCAGCAGGTCCCCCCACCTCTCCACGGCGCCGAAAGTCTCCAATGGAAAGGCAAACGCTAATATTATTGGTTCCAGCGCCGTCGCAGGAACTGTCAGAACGAGGTTGAAAGGAACAACGAACTGACCTAAGGACTCCGGAGTTTACTCTCCTGTATATGTAAAAGCTAACATTATTAAAATGCTATTTTAAAATTAAAATGCTAAAATTGTCATTATCGTTGGCGCGGGATTACGGGAAGTGTTGCAGTAAGTCTCTGAACAGTTCACTGTACAACAAGGGCCAAACTGAGTGGCTTTTAGACTCAATTGTGAAATACCCTGAGAGCGCGCGCGCGCACACACACACACACACACACACACACATATATATATATATATATATATATAAGGGGGCCTCGTAGCCTGGTGGATAGCGCGCAGGACTCGTAATTCTGTGGCGCGGGTTCGATTCCCACACGAGGCGGAAAGAAATGGGCAAAAGTTTCTTTCACCCTGAATGCCCCTGTTACCTAGCACTAAATAGGTACCTGGGAGTTAGTCAGCAGTCATGGGCTGCTTCCTGGTGTGTGTGTGTGTGTGTGTGTGTGTGTGTGTGTGTGGTGTGAAAAAAAAAGTAGTTAGTAAACAGTTGATTGACAGTCGAGAGGCGGGCCGAAAGAGCAAAGCTCAACCCCCGCAAACACAACTAGGTGAATACACACACACACACGACACATTGTCTGATCATCTTTAGCCAGTTTGATCAACCAAATAAAGATGAAAGCGAGAAGAGGTGGTTGGGTGGCGTGCATCTTCCTAGACTGCCAGAAGAGCTCTGATACAGTTCTTTATTTGATAATGTTATATATAAAATACAAATTTTGGACTGAAACGGAGTTACCTCACGTTAAGACAGAGTCATAGTGAGAGTGGCTGAATCAGAATAGAGAGAGATGATCGGTTTATGGGCTCTCTACTATTCTCAGTGTAAGAATGATAGTCACCCAAGGATAATATCATCCTTCTCTTCCCAAGATGTACATGTACACACTTCCGTGTCTGTCTTCTCTTTATGTACTTCTCTAAGGAGGTCTGATCAGAGACAGGGCCACGGGGACGTTGATCCCCGGAATCATGGACAGGTTTTTATTATGTACATATATATATATATATATATATATATATATATATATATATATATATATATATATATATATATATATATATAATATATCCTTAACTGTTGCCTCTGTTCACCCAGCAGTGAATGGGTACCTGGTTGTTAAACGATTTGGCGGGTCGTATTCCGGGGGACATTAGGATTAAGGACTTGCCCGAAACGCTATGCGTGCTTGTGGCTGTATAAGAATGTAAGAACTCTGGTATATATAAATGAAATAAAAGAAAATAACAATTAATTGTTTCAACTGTACAAACTCTCAAACTGAAAGAACTAAATTTCTTACATCCTAAACCTGTTTTGAGCATTAGAAACACTGTGCTCTGCATGTGTCCTATTTGCCTTATTACGAACATTCATGCATTGATCCTTTGGTTTTAAATTCTTACTAATCATAACTCCCAGATCCCTTTCGCAATCCGACTTCGCAATCTCAACACCATCTAGCTCGTATCTTGTAACCCTACCATCATTACCTAACCTCAGAACTTTACATTTATCAGCATTAAACTGCATCTGCCAATCTTTTGACCATTTTAAAACCCTATTTAGATCAACTTGAAGTGATAGTGAGTCTTCTTCCGTGTTAATTTCCCTACCAATTTTTGTATCATCGGCAAGTTTGCAGATGTGGCTACTCAAACCTGAATCTAAATCATTTATATATATTATAAACAACAGAGGTCCCAGGACAGAGCCCTGAAGTACTCCACTAACAACATTATCCCACTCTGACTTAACCCCATTTATACTAACTCTCTGTTTCCTTTGGTATAGCCATGCCCTAACCCAACTTAATATAGCACCCCTAATACCATGAGCCTCTATCTTTTGAATCAGTCTTTCATGTGGCACTATATCAAAAGCTTTGCTAAAGTCAAGGTACACAACATCACAATCCTTACCACTATCAACTGCCTCAACTATGCTGTAATAAAAAGATAGCAAATTTGTTAAACATGAACGGCCATTTGTAAAACCATGTTGCGAATCATTTATTAATTTATGTTTTTCAAGATGAAGACAAATTGTATTTGCAATTATCGATTCAAGTAAGTTTCCCGCAATAGACGTTAGGCTAATTGGCCGATAGTTTGACGCAAGTAATCAATCTCCTTTCTGAAAAATTGGTACCACATTAGCTACCTTCCATGACTCTGGCACTCTGCCTGACTCTATTGATTTATTAAATATGGTAGACAGTGGGTCGCAAAGCTCCTCTTTGCATTCTTTAAGCACCCTGGCAAACACTTCATCCGGCTCCTAGGATTTGTTTGGTTTGAATTTTACTATTTGTTTAAGAACATCCTCCCTGGTAACTGCTAAACTCGTCAACCTGTCCTCGTCCCCACCCACATAGACTTGTTCGG